GACTGGAGTGGAGAAGAAGAAGAAAATGATTCTGAGAAGGAACATGATAAGCTTGCCATGTTTGGCAAAAGAAAGATTTTAAAGGGTAGACTACTGAAAGACCTGGTGGAACCAGGAATGATGAGATTGGTGGATGCTTTAGCTGCTCAGGGATGGAAGGACATGGTCCTTCAGATGGATGGTAGGCTAGCCAGAAATGAGCTAATTGAATTTATGGCAAATGCTGCGGTTCAGGAAGGCATTGTTAGTAGCCTGGTGAAAGGAGTCCAAGTGCAGTTTGATGCAAAAAAACTAGGAGAAATCCTGGACATACCCTCTGAAGGGTTTGATGATTATACAAGGCAAAGGTGGCCCTTCCTGGACTCCCTCCCTACTGCTCTTGCAATCACCAGGACATTCTGTGATTCAGAAGATGTGAATGAAGCCAGGCTGTGCAGAAAAGTGAAATGAGGCCTGAGCACAAGGTCTTGTTTGAATTTGTCAACAACTGTCTATTGCCCAGACAGGAGAGAAGGCACATCGCTAATTACATGGATCTAGTTCTTATGGAGTGCCTGGAGAGAGGAAAGCAAATCAACTGGCCTGCCTTCATTATCAAGCTGCTAGACAGGGTCATAAATGGCTCCAAGGCTCATGCTACTCCATATGGCTTTATTCTAACCACAGTTCTGGACAGGCTAAATGTGCCTCTGAAGAAATGGGAAATGGCCTCGAGCAAGGAACACTTTGGCATCAATACTCTTCTTGCTTGTGATTATCCAGTCAATGCCATCCCAAATGAACCTGGTTCATCCCAGAAGACACCCATCAATAGCAAAGTTAGGGCTCTGGTTCAGGAATGTGCAGCCAAGGATGCTGAAATAGCTAGGATCAAGGCTCGTGTGATTGAAGTGGAATCTGAGAGGGATGGTCTCAGAACTGAGCTTGCCAAAGAAAAGGAGAAGGATGATGGAATTCTTCAGAACATGCTGAATCTTCTCCAAACTCAAACCCAACCCTCTAGTTCCTCCAAGCCTTAGGACTCCTAGCTTTTGTCTCCTGAACTTGTTTAGTACCTCAGTGACCCAGATTAGGGATTTTTCTATCTTTTGTTTTTGCTCATGGTTTGGATGTTTTTCTTTCTTTTTGTGGATTGTTGGTGGCAACATATCTCTGTCAATGATAACTACTGTCTTGCTCTTGTTCAATGATTAATATGTCCTTGATAGTTTAAAAATGTTTGCTTGATTACTGATGATTGCACTTGCAGTTGCCCCAGTGGCCATGAGTATTTATTAAAATCTAGGAATCACACTTTGTATGCAACTTTTCGATGATGCCAAAAGGGGGAAGAGACATTGTGCTTTACACATTCTGAAATAAGTGATATTTATAACCTAATTAACCTGGTCCTTGATGATAAGTGAATTTTCTAAGTTTAGTATTGATGGTTAAGCTGAGTTCTTACAGGGTTTGTCATCATCAAAAAGGGGGAATTTGTTGGCCCAAGAATAGGTGAAGTTTTGAAGAATGACAGAAGAACTCAGTCATGGACCATGTCCATCTTGTGAAGCACAGTCATGATCAATCCATGCATGTGAGATGCACGTAAAGGAGATAAGTCCTACTGAACAAGCAGCAATATCTCCTGATCTGATCGAAAAGGTTGCATATTAGATAAGGGGAGAAAGTCTCCTTATATGAAGAGAACACAATCTAGGATGAAGATAGTGTTAGAGTTTGAGATCATCATGAACTCTTCCACGATAGAAGAGCAGCAATTGAGTCCCAATCAACTCTGATTACTAACCTATTAAATGTTAGTGTTGTTCTCTTTTACAAGCAATGCACATACGCAGAAGTTAAACTAAATTGAGAGCAAAAGAGCAAGACGATTTTGCAAGCAATTTATGTATGATTTGAGTGTGCACTCCTGAAGCTACTTGAACGAGATAGAAGAACCAGTTACATTGTGTCTATCTTTTATTCTAGTTCAATTGTAGTAGGTAGTTTAAAATTGTACCTTTCAGCTTTCATAGAAGCAATTGTATTAGGTACCTAGAGTGTTCAAGTTATAGCTAACTTGAAGTTGTCGCAACAGTTGAGGCTGTGTACCACAACGAGATTAGAGTTAATCCTTAGGATTACAAAGAGTTTTGTAAATGCTGTTTTGGCTCAGTGATTTTAGTGGAAGTTTGGGAAAATCCTACTGAGTAGTAGGTCGTTGTTTTTTCACCTTTTGTGCCAAGTGTTTTCCACGTAAAAATCTTCGTGTCCTTTATTTTCTGTATTTATTATTCCGCAAACAGTAGTAGTTGGAACACATAGAAGAACCAGGTCCTTCTATAAAAAACTTAAGCAAAAATTTGGTACCACACAAATCACCCCTCCCCCTCCTGTGTGGTATTGACGCTTAAAACATCAGTTGCCCCGTTTGGCCAAGCTGCAAAAATCAGCTTATTTTGAGAAGTGCATTATTCAAAAGTGCTTTTCTCAAAAGTACTTTTGGTGAGAAGCAGTTTGTGTTTGGCAAATGGATTTCAAAAGTACTTCTGAGCAGCAATTAGTGTTTGGCCAAGCTTTAAAAAACTGCTTTTAAGTGTATTTTTCTCAAAAGTGCTTTTCAAAAAAGTCTGCTTTGGAAAAAGCTACTTTTTTCTGCTTCTCCTCAGAAGCACTTTTTTTTCCTTTCAAAAGCTTGGCCAAACACCTTAATTTTAGAAAAAAAGCACTTTTGACCAAAAAAAGTGCTTCTGCCTCAAAAGAAGTTTGGCCAAACAGGCTATAATATTCTCTAAATTAGATAAGATCTCCTTAATACTATAGCAGCTTTTAAGTACTGTCTTACAATAGCTGATTTATAGCCTGTTTGGCCAAGCTTTTTTTTGGGTCAAAAGTGCTTTTTTGGCCAAAAGGTGCTTTTGGCCAAAATTTGAGGTGTACCTTTTGGCCAAAATTTGAGGTGTTTGGCCAAGCTTTTGGAAGGAAAAAAGTGCTTTTGAGGAGAAGCAGAAGCAATTTGGAGAAGCAGAAAAAAGTAGCTTCTCTCCAAAAGCACTTTCTGAGAAGCACTTTTGAGAAAATTACACTTAAAAGTAGTTTTCAAAAGTTTGGCCAAACACTAATTACTGCTCAAAAGTGTTTTTCTAATTAATTAGCCAAACACAAACTACTTCTTACCAAAAGCACTTTTTTAAAAGTATTTTTGAGAAAAGCACTTCTCAAAACCGAAATTCTTTTATGATGATACTTCCCGCGTTAGCTTATGCTCACTCGACTATTCCACCAAATAGTTTGATACAACTTACACAGTATAGGTTCTAGGTAATTACTTTGGTACACATCCAAACTCGAGGCATATGCATGTATCACCAAGTTATGAACCCGAAAATTTAGAATCGGGTCCAGGATTTAAAGTTTATGAATTCTTACCGCAACGTCAAATTAATATACATCTAAAATCTCCACAATGTTACTATTATACCCCAAGTCCCCAACCATGCAACAATTCCCTTGGGATATATATATATAACAACAATTAAGCTAAAAGATATCAAGGTTAGCTAACTAAAAAAGAGTACACTACAAGAGGGATACAATAGCTATCATTCATAGGCTCAAGAGGACTGATTTTCTTTTCCTGTTTTAGGAGTAGAGATTTCTCAGAGCTCGTCACGATCATGTCCAGAAGACGCACTTCCTCTCACTTTCTCAACTGTTTTATGCACTGTCTGTTCCACCACCTTAGCGGCCGATTTGGCGGTTTCCTCAACAGTTTCTTTGCTCTTCCCAAAGCTTTTCTGGGCAGCCTCTTTCACCCTCTCCGTGGCACCACCATCAGCATAAGCAACCTCTTTGCTCCTGAAACTGACCATTTTATTTAGTTAGCCCCCAAACTCACTTTATTACAAATGAGAAAAAATATATTGTGTTCTAATGCAAGGTTGTTACAGATAAAGTAAGTAATTATTAAATAAATAAAATTATCATCGTATTAAACCGTAAAATTAGTTTTTATGATATGTTCCAGTACAAAATTGAACATGATAATGGAGAAATAACAGTATAACTACCAAATACAACAATCTCTATATTATCATTCTCAAGAAGAACAAAATCTTACAAAGACAAACACATCTTCGCCAGTTCGCCACACTAAATGTTTACATCAAATCAACAAAGATCTATTACATATTTATCATATAAACTTCTATCATCTTACCATGGTTGATCAAGATACATTCTCGATGTATTTAATCACATAACCTTGTAATAATTAAGTTAATATATTTTGGTCGAAACAACTTGTAGAGCAAGGGCTCGTTTGTTACGAGGGATAAGGAACAATTAATCTCGGGAATAAATTTAAAATGAGTTACTTATCCCACGTTTGGTTGAGATAAAATTGCGGTATCACTAATGCTAGGATTAGTTATCCCGATATTATAGTGTTATTTTTATCCCTATGAGAGGGTGCGATAATAATTCCGGAATAATTAATCCTGAAATAACTTGTTTCCAACCAAACGACCCCTAAGCATTTTCCGATATCCTGAAACGGTGGAACACATAGAATACCAAATTCAAGAATGTAACAACAGAGAAATGAAAAAGGAAAAAAGAGAGTTCGGGGGGGGGGGGGGGGGGATAGAGAGCTTACTCTAAATCAGGAGGAAAAAACTTAAGTTGGAGTTGATTGATATACGACTTGACATTATCCCAATAACGCAACGACGATGTTACAAGAGTAGAATAGGTTTCTTGTTGCTGGACGTTCTTTTGTGTAGCATCCCCATATGTGTGAATAGTTGCAAAGGAAAATGTGACAAACCAAAAGATAAGAAGTATACTTACTTTTCTAAATCTTTCCATGCTATTTGATGTTGAAAGCGAAAATAGTTTTGTTTATGAGGATATTTTTGAGGAGAAAATTACATCAACTGAATTCTGCTTTTGCTATTCTTTCTACTAGGAATAGCCAACTATTTGACAAATGTTCAAAAGTGGATATTCTTCCCATGCATGAACCCCACGTTTCCCTTTGTTGTAGAATCTCCATCCATTACTTCCAAACAATATGTATTGAATTTAAGTACACCTTTTTTCCTTCTTCCTTTCCTTTTATATCTATTTAATTTAATTAAAATTGAGACTTTTATATGCATATTCTATTCTTTGCTTAATGATGATTTAAGTCACCAAAGTCATCATGCCCCTTATGTGTTTGGGCGACACACGTTATGCATTGATCGAAACAAAGGATCGCGATCCCGGATAAACTAACCCAAAAACCCATACTCCTCAATATGAATTTCAGGATGCAACTCGTCTGCATAAAGTCAAAATTCTTGATAATTACCAATCAAATTGAATAAAAATAATTACTATAGTAACTTTTTATGATAGGAAATATTATAGGTAAATCGGTATATATAAAATTTAAATTTTAATATTTCTATCAAAATTTACGATAATTTAACCTGATAATATAAATAAACTTTTACACCAACTAGCGTTAACGCATACTCCCCACAATTTAAACACAAAAAGAAAACGTGTCAAAGACTCAGACAGCTAACGTTGAGCTTTGCATAGTTCGAGCCAGTGCAGCATGAAAAAGTAAAGGGGACGAAAAGGCCAAAGTGCAATTCGTAAAGACCTTTTGTTTTCGAATTTAAAATCCAATAGCAATTTAGTATTTAGACGTAACCAAAGGCCCTACTTGTTCTCTTTCATTTCTTTTAATAAAAATAATACTCCCTCCGTTTCATATTAAATGAGGTACTTTCCTTTTTAGTCTGTTCCAAAATAAATGACACATTTCTAACTTTGGAAATAATTCAACTTTAAATTCCTCATTTTACCTATTTTACCCCTAATGAGAAGCTTTTATAATCACACAAAAGTCATGGTCCCACAAATTTTTACCCCTTAAGCTTTTAATACCACAAATTTCAAAAGTCTTTCTTTTTTTCCTTAAACTCCGTGCCGAGTCAAACTACCTCATTTAATTTGAAACGGAAGGAGTAATAATATAAAAAATTACAGTGTATAACCATTCTTGATATATATATATATATATATACACTTCTTTTTCTACTGAATATAAATAATTTTTGGCGGGGTTAAAACCCATATTATATATGCGATCTTTCTTCTTGATAACGAGCTATCCAATGTACAACACATCAATCAGGAAAGTCCCTTCCCCTGTTTCTGTCAACTTCCCTACACCACACCAATTACTGCTTTACTTCTTTCCCTTTTCATATTAGTAACTTCAGATTACTTAATCCAAACTCTGGTTTGCAATGGAAGATAGCAAAGAGGTAACAAAGAAATCTATCTTCATATATGCTTTTGCTTATTTTCTTGCTATTTTATTTTATTTTTAAATTTGGTGGGAATTTATATTTAGAACTGTCTCTTGTGTTTTGCTGAAGTACCTTTCTTTGATGTTTCTGTACGTGTATGTTCTGCTTGTATCTATACATTCAACTTGAACAACAATATCCCATACAAATTTATAGATATTTTTGTTTAGAGGCTGAGCTATGATTTCAATTTTACGGGTTTCTGAATTTTCGAACAATGATTTCAAGTTTTGATAATTAGGTTTTAAATTTAATATTTGTATAAGTTTAATGAATTTCTTAAGACAAATATACGGTTTGAGCAAAAGCTACTGGGTTGGGCAGCTCGGGTTGGGCAGCTCGTAACTTCCTCGCCCTTGCTTTTGTTCTGCTAATCATTAGGTCTCTTTCGAGAAATCTGCGAGGTTAGTGACTTATGGTTCGAAATTCAGTGAATAATTGGGCGTCTCTTTACTCTTCATCACTTAAATATTAAACTTTTATCTGTGACAGAATTCAATTTAACTCTGACTTTTACCACTAGACCAAAGTTCCCGGGCTATTTACTTGTAGTAATTATGTCTCATCTGCATGTGTTACTGTGCAAAAGCAGTTGTTTTTTGTTTGATTATCCCTCATGTTCTATCTTGGAAAACAGCCGAATCGAGGGTTTGAATCCTTTTACTCCTGATTATGAACATTCGATCGGATCTGTCAAGAACGAGCTGTCGACTGCAGTTCAACTTTACCAAGTTTATTCAAGAATTTCATCAATATGGTCAACTTTAATCATCTAGTATTATTGTGTGAAGAAGTTGTGGTTGATAATTGATAGGTGTAATTAGTCAAAGTTCTCTTTTCACTCCTGAGGAGTTATGGGCGCGTCATGACTAGAATTTTCTAATTTCTTTTCTTCCATTTAAATCTAGATTTTTGTATTTTTGAATTTTTTTTGTGTGGTAGAATGTTGACTCATATTTAGTCAAATTTAGACTTTGAATTGTAAGCTAATCACACAAAATGTTTGAAAGTGGAAAAGGTAGCAAAGAAAAATATGGTAGTAGTACTTAGCAGTTGTTGCCTTCCAGCTGGACTATATATGTATATATATATATATATATATATATATATATATATATATATATATATATGTATTGTATGTTGAAGAAACTGAATATAGAAGTATCTACTTGTGACGACCCAAAGGGTCATCACCTGTTTTCTCTTTCATTCCGCGCTTCCAAGGCCTCGAAAACCTCATTTTTTTTACTTGCCTCGATTTTCGTGCGCAGTCCGGGCGTGTAGCCGGAAAGATTATATGTTAAATTCTGTGAAAATTTTAAAATTTGGCTTTAAAATGATTAAAGTTGACTTTGGTCAACATTTTTGGTAAACGGACCCGGACCCGTGATTTGACGGTCCCGGAGGGTCTGTAGAAAAATATGGGACTCGGGCATATGCCTGGAGTCTAATTCCGAGGTCTAGAGCCCGAGAAAAGAATTTTTCCCTAAAAATTATTTTTCTGAAATTATTAAGGAAAATGGAAATGAAAATTGATTAAAAGGCTGTGGTATCGGGCTCGTATTTTGGTTGCGACGCCCGATACAAGTCTTATATATGGTTTAAGCGCTTCCTGTGAAATTTGGTCGAAATCGGACGTCATTTGACGTGTTTCGGACCTAAATGTCTAAAATTTGAAGTTTATGAAGTTAGAATGAAAAATGATGATTTTGAGGGTTGATTCATTGATTTTGATGTTGTTTTGGCGATTTGATCGCTCGATTAAGTTCGTATGAGGTTGTTGAGTTAGTGTGTGTGTTTGGTTAGGAGCCTCGAGGGCTCGGGAGTGATTCGGAGGTGGTTCGGGATGTTTTTGGCCTTAGAGAAAGTTGCAGAAAATCTGCAATATTGGCACAGTTGTTCCCTCCTTCGCGATCGCAACCTTCAGCCCGCGTTCGCGTTCCTTTGGCTTTTTCCTCTTCCGCGTTCGCGTACTCGGTCACGTGATCGCATAGTTTCAGCATTTCCTTCAATGCGTTTGCTCCAGTAGACTCGCGTTCGCATAGACCAAACTTTTGGACCCCCAGTATTTCTTCTACGCGTTCGCGTTACCATCCACGCGATCGCGATGACCAGTCAGTGGGACCTTTCGCGATCGCATCCCTGTTTCCGCGATCGCGTAGGGCAAATTCGCCCAGTTATTTATAAAGCCTAAGAACAGACCAGTAACGGGATTTTTCACCCAAAACACACGAGTTCATCTTCTCTACAGCACATAGGCGATTTTTAGAGCTATCCTTCACCAAAACTTCTTGGGTAAGTATTATCTAACTCGTTTTCTTCATTTTCTATCATTATTTACCAAATTCCTAGACCTAAATCATGTAGTTCATGGTAAGAATTGGGGAAAAGGGTAGAATTAGGGCTTTTTAATTTTCTTGGATTTAGACCTCGTTTTGGGGTCGAATTTGAAAACAAATTGTATATCCGGGCTCGTGGGGAAATGGGTAACATGGAATTGGTTCGAACCTCGTGTTTTGACCAAGCGGGCCCGGGGTCGATTTTTGGAACTTTGGGATGAAAGCTTAGAATTCATATTTAAGCATTGGGTTTACTTTGTTAGCTATTATTAATATTTTTAAGTCATTATTTCATAGATTTGACTGAGTTGGAGCCGATTTCGAGGGGTAAAGCTATACTAGAGGCTTGAGTTGAGTTTGGAGCATTCGAGGTAAGTGTTTGATCTAACTTTGGCTTGAGGGAATAGGATTAGAGTATTATTTGCTAATTGCTAAATGTTGAGTACGGTGTATAGGCATGGTGACNATATATATATATATATATATATATATATATATTAGTTAATATTTCATTAATAAATTTATGATTGTTAATACACGAGTCTACTTTTATATTCCTAAAAGAAAAAAAATTTGGGTAATGAAATCAGTGACTTGATTAGCTCTGTATATTTAGTGTGATGAATTTGAATACTAAACTGGACTTGGACCTTCTAAAGAATATGAAATAACTTGCTTTTAGGTAAGAATAGTATATAGGAGTATCTGAATAAATACTGCACACTGAATTTAAGTGTCAGAAAGGGAGCTTTGGAGCAACATTAAAGTTGTCTCCGTGTAATCTATAGGTCATGAGTTCAAGTCGTGGAATCAGCCACTGTGCTTGCATCATGCTAGGCTGTCTACATGACATCTCCTTGGGGTGCGGCCCTTCCCCGGACCTTGCGTAAATACGGAATGATTCGTGCACTGAGTTACCCTACCCTATGTTTAAGTGCCAAACTCATAATTTAGACATTGTGGGTTCTGAGTTAAGAGATTGGATTTTTTAAATGCATATTTAACTCAATCTATACTTATTTTTTGCACGTGTATATAAGCACCGGGTTCTGCAAAACCCGCGAACCCATGGTTGGATCCGCCACTGCGACTCATTTACGTAAATCTTGTTTATTTTACAGAAGACTGCACCATGGTTATCTGTACCACAGTTTGGTGACTGGGATCAAAAAGGTGCATTGCCAGACTACTCACTGGATTTCTCAAAAATAAGAGAGAATAGGAAACAGAATAAAAGGGATTTGTCAAGAGTTAGTCTTGGAAATGAGGAAGAGCTCGTTTCGTC